ATCCATTAGCATCCGTATTTTTTGTGCTAAATTATTCCCACATTCAGATTTGGCCAGTGGCAGGCTCGTTGATGTGGCTCACGTCCTTTTGATGTACCCCTCTCCGCAGACAAAGCTGGGAAACAGGTGTCCGCACACGCACACACACGTGCACACTTGCACACCCCTCAACATCTAGTGCCGCGTCTCCCTGCTGCCTCTGACCGCGCCCCAGCCGGAGAGCTCTGTGGAGAGCTGACTCTGCTTTTGTGCAAGGAGATCCTTCTCTGCCGCGAGGACCTGGCTCCTATTACCCTTGTTGCGTTTTTTTCTGCTGATCTTCCTATAGGTAATGATTTCAAGACTCCAGTCCCCTCCCTGCCACTGCAGAACCTGTCCCTTCCGTGCACCTTCCTTGCTGTGCCCAGGGGGAGGGAGGGCAAGCTGAGCTGGTGGCTTTCCACCCAACCAGCCGGGAGAGGGAGGGAGAAGCTGGTTTGTTTTTCTTTTCTGGAAGGTTCTAATGCTTGTCTGCCAGTTGAAGCACCTGGCTTGACTCTGTCCCTCTGGACCTTTGCAGCTCACCCCGGCCTGAAAAAAGCCAATTTTCCTAAGACAATCTGTTCTTCTGTTACCACCCTTCACGGTTCTCCTTGCTTTAGACTTTGAACTTGCCTTGCTCTTGGTTAGCCAACCCTGGAATGTGAGATCCCCATTAAAAAAAAAGAATCTTCTGCCCTGGCTGGTGCAGCTCAGTGGATTGAATTCCAGCCTATAAACCGAAGGGTGGCTGGTTCGATTCCCAGTTGGAGCCATGTCTGGATTGCAGGCCAGGTCCCCAGTAGGGGGCGTGTGAGAGGCAGCCACACATTGATATTTCTCACCCTCTTTCTCCCTCCATTTCCCTTTCTCTAAAAATAAGTAAATAAAACCTTTTAAAAAATCTTCTTATTGAGGTATGGTCAACATGTAAAAGTAGTATACAATTTTTATAACTTAAGTGAGTTTGGGGATAAGTCTATACCTGTGAAACCATCATCACCTTCAAGGCCATAATATTTCCATCACCTCCCAAAGTTTCCTCCTGCCCACGTATTACTGCTACTATTACTACTACTACTGCTACTGCTACTGCTACTACTTTTGACCCCATTCCCTTCATCCTGGGGCCTGCCAAGAGCTCTTCCTATGGCCCTGGTCCCGGGGCAGAACTGAAGGTATTGTCTTGTCAACTGGAATGCAAATGTCTTCCTCTTAGAAGCAGAACCCTGTCTGCCTCGTCTCCAAAGAGGGGTGGTGGGGGTGACTCATAGCCCTTTGGGGAAGCACTTGATACGAGCTTCCACCTTGACAGTGCAGTGGAAAATCAACTCTTTGCTGGCCTGCCTAAATTTATAGCGGGCCAGCCCCAGCAGCTGGTGGCAGCAGCTGGGGGTTAGAGCTCCAACAGATTCTTTTTTCCCTCTGAAAAATAGTTCAGCCCCTGCAGTCCCAGCACCAGCACTGCCAGCATTTAGAAGCCATTTACAACCCCTTCCAGTTGGTCCATGGAGAGCTACTCTGTGCGTCCCTCCGTGTCCCCAGAAGCCGGCTCTCTCCCGGTCCTTCACCCTGGGGCATAACCAGATCCCCAGCAAGTAAGACTGAAAGGCCCCAAGCTGATGGTACAATGTGAATTTCACAGCTTTTTAAATTTTTTAAAGCAGTTTCATATGCTTCAATCTAACGTGCCTGTATATACACGCATCCGTGTTTATTTTAAAGCTGTTCTAATTACGCTGGATGGGAGGTTTGTGAACCTTTATCAGAGCTCATTAATTCTTGACTTACACACTGTTCTGACCCCTCAGCCATGTCAGTCTGCAGCACATTAGCAGCAGGAAACTGGAAGGCAAAGTCATGGTCAGATGGGCTGGTAAGCAGGAGCCTGGCTGGCAGCCTCTGAGGGAGGGGCCTGACTGGCCCGGAAGAGCCCTCAGTGGTCCTGAGTCCAGCGCCCTGACTTGCCTAGATGGGCAGTCGCCCCGCTGAGACCCCCACGGCGGGGCCGCTCTAGCATCCAAGCCTCTCGACTTGATTTTAAATTGTCTTTTTTGTGCCATAGTGTCCTTCCTCGCTCACACCCCAGCTGCTCGAGATGCTGATCACATGTCACAGAGAACATTTTAATGATGTGCACAGATTCTCTGTTCAAAAACTCAGGGACATGTGCAATGTGCTATGACAAATGTTTCTGTCCCAAAGAGTTCCAATAAAAAACGCTGTCCCACGGAGGGTGCGGGCAGGTGTCTGTTACCTAGAACACTCTCCCCAGGGCCCTCCTGTGCCCCTGCTGGTGCCCGACAGGCGAGTCTCGGCTGACCAGGCCCACACACTGGAAAGTCCGAACGCAGAGGTGGGGAAGGACGGCGTTGCTCTCGCCTGTCCCATCTCTTGCACACTGTCACCGGGTGGCGAACCGAAGATGTTCCCTGGCACTTCAGATTTTCCTTACATTTGCTTTCTTATTCATTTTGCTTATAAAACCTGTACATGTTCCGCATAGAACTGGAAAATATAAATGCAATGAAGGTGAAAAAAGCCTGCATCGCTCCATCCCGTGAACATCCTGGCATGTGTTCCTCCATATGGCCAGGCGCTCTTCACTCTGTCGCACTCCTTCTGAGTGTATTTATACATACATGTTCACATGCACAGACATGTCAATCACATGTGCACAGGAAAACTGGATCGTGGTGCCCATAGTTTTTAAACCTATTTACAAGTTCCTAATGGACACATTTGCCTCTAGATATGTGGAGAGCTACCTTGTTTTTTAAACAGCTGCCAACGAGTCCATTCTGTGCCTGTGTCTTAATTTCATGAACTCTCTGCTACTGTTGGGCATCTTTGTGTTGCTATTCTGGTCACAAGTGTGATCAGCCTCCTTGCTCACCCCGTTAATCATGTCCTCAGAGTAAATTCTTGGGCGAATGGCTGCGTCAGACCACACGACGTCTCTTATGGCTTTCAACGTGTGTCACCAGAACTTCCGGGGGATGTTTTTCCACACAGGTTTTATGGCTTTGGAAAGTCGATATTGTCTGTAGGTTAGGATTCCTAGAATCATGATCCAACAAAGACAGCCAGGGTCCCTGCCATCCTCTCTCCTTCTGTCATTTGTCCTCACCCCGCCCTCTGGCTGACTCCTGGGGCGTGGCCTTAGGGCTGCAGGATCAGGTTCTGGGGGATCTGGGGTGGGGGGTGGGAACCGTGGAGGGAGAAGGAACCGTCAGAAGATCCAGGGGAGTTAGCAGTAGAGGGTGGCACACGCAAGTGCCAGTCTGATTGTATCGAGAACCTGGTTTGGGAAGTTCACCTGGGCTTCGCCACCTCTCGTTCATCTCAATGCCAAGTGTAGCTCTTTGTGGCTGAGCATTGGATTGAAGCCTCTGGCTGGTTCTTCGGCTAACAATCAGGTCCCCGTACCTGGACCTGGCCTTGCGATCTGGCTCCCTACCATCTCTCCCCTTGCCTAGACTTCTTCATGTGTAATGTAGCCACAACACCCTTTTTGCTTTTCTCCACAGTGCCAAACCCCTTCCCAACTCGGGCTTTCAGCTGCGTGGCTCCCTGTACCGCAGGGCACTCTCACTTTTTCTTACTCTTCAACCTCTGAGCCAGAGCCTGGTGTGGTGGTTAGGAGCTTGGCTCCTGGAGTCAGGCTTGGGTATGTGTCCTAGTTCTGTCGTTTTTCTGCTGTGCAAGTTTGTACAAGTTACTCAGCCTCTCTGTGCCTTACTTTCCTTGTCTGTAAAATTGGGATAACAATGGCATGCACCTCCCAGGTTGCTGTGAGGATCAAGTATGATGGTATCTGTGCCCTCATAGCCATCTGTGCCTTTCCTTCTGAGTGGTTACTACAGTGGTTACCAAGTTAAAAAAAAGTCTGTCTCCTGCCCTGGCTGGTGTGGCTCAGCGCTGCCTGTGAACTGAAAGGTCACCAGTTCTATTCCTAGTCAGGGCACATGCCTGGGTTGTGGGGCAGGTCCCGCATTGGTGGCATGTGAGAGGCGACCAATTGACGTTTCTTGCCCTCTCTTCTCCTCTCTCTAAAAATGAATAAGTAAAATTTAAAATAAATACATTAAAATAGCTGGCTGCTGCCTAAGACTGAGCTCCCCGAAGGCGCAGCCCCCCTCTTCCTAGTTCCCAGCATGGAGCTGCTGCCCGGTCATGCTCCGCTCCAGGGTGGAAATGAGTGTCCCTTTGCTTGTTGCCAAAGGGCCAAGTTGGCAGAAAGCACAGCACTCACCGCCTCCGATGAACGAACGAAATGTAACTGCGCGTGAGAGGGATTTCCTGCAGGATGAGCTGATGTGGGTGGCAGCGACAGGGCCCCGTGACCCGTGTCTTTCCGAACTTGCAAAGGCGGCGGTTCTTGGAGGTGATGTAGAACGGATCCTCTCAGTTGGTGAGCGCCTGTGTGTTTTTTTCTCTATACCGTAGCGCTGAGCACAACTCTGAAAATGCAGGTCAATCTGGAAGGTTACTGGAAAAGGGCACAAAACACAAAGCCGGGATTTCTCAACCCTGGCGCTACTGGCATTTTGGACCAGATCATTTTTTGTCGTGGGGCCACCCTGTGCATTGTGGGGTGTTTAGTAGCATCCTTGGCTTCTGCCCACTGGATGCCAGTAGTACCTCCCCCGCCAGTTGTGACAACCAGAAACTGTTCTAGACTTTGCCAGATGCCCTCCGAGGTGAGAATCGCCCCTGGTTTAGAACACAGATCAAGGCCTACACAACAACCCCCATCTTGTGTCACTCATTCAGTGGACGAAAGTTACTCTATCAAATTGCTCTGAAGCTTCCCAAGTCTCACTCCAGGTCTCTATGCTGTCTCATCACGGAGTGGTGACAGACCTTCCTGGACCAGCACCTGACCCTTCACTTACAGGAGGGGAAACCGAGGCCCTGCGTAGGGTCCAGATGAAACTTCAAAGCACGTTTTTGAGCCTCGGTTCTTCTCCTGTCCCCAGTTCACCTGTGGCAGATGATGTCACCCAGCTGGCTGCCTGTGAAGACCTGGGAAACCCACTCTTAGCTGCCTCTTCCCACCCCGGTGTTGTCATTGGCCAGGTGTCCACGGACCTGACATCCCAGAGGTACAGTGGGGGCTGGGCCCAATCCCTGAGGCCATCCCCCCTCCTGCCCCGCCCCTCCTCTCCCAGGCAGTGCCACCCTGGCACCAGGTCCGTGTGCCTCCTGTGGGGGCTGGGGCCTTAGGAGGGATCTGAGGAGACGCCAGGAGATCGCCCTGACAGAGGCCACTTCAGAGATTTGTCCCCTCGCAGTCTTCAGGCACCTCTGTTTACCGCAGGAGGCCTCCAAGAGAGATAGCGTGCTATTTATACCTTTTCAGGGAGTGACGTAGTTGGCTGCCTTCTGGCCTCCCGGGCACCAGCTGGTTCCCTGCCTGTTCTTTGTCCGGGTGGTGGTCAGAGAAGAGAAGCCAGCGCGGGCAGGGACCAGGTCCTTGTGCCCTTGCAGGGCAGTCTGGCCTGGGGTGGGGTGGCTTCTCCTGCCTCGTCCCCCGCCAGTCCACCCTCCCTCGTCCTGGATGTACTTCAAGCCCTGCAGCCCCAGCGCCCACCATGGTTCCTCCTATGCACCGTGTGCAGCCCCGACTCAGGCCCCACCCTCTCGACCGTATCACCTCACCTTGCAAACTGTGATTCCCACTCATGAGTTTTGGGGACTCGAACATTCAGCCCACAGCGCCGCCTGTGGACCCCCCCACGGCCCCCCAACCCGCCCTGCACTTCTGGGTGGAGTCGGGTCAGGAGAGGCAGAGGGTGCGGTGCGGAGGCAGGAGGGGAAGGAGACTGGGTGGACGGCAGGCTTGCCTCCCCGGAGAAGCAGGGCTGGCACTTCGCATAAAAAATGTAAATTGCAATTAAAATTTTAAGAATATGTTTTATTTTATTTACTTTTTGATTTGTATTCTATACGTTTCAGTATATGTTTTTTAAAGATTTTATTTATTTATCTTTAGAGGAGAAGGGAAGGAGAGAGGGAGAGAATATCAATGTATGGTTGCCTCTCGAGTGCCCCCTACTGGGAACCTGACCTGGCCCGCAACCCAGGCACGTGCCCTGACTGGGAATCAAAGGCCCTGGTGACCCTTTGCAGGCCGACAGTCAATCCACTGAGCCACACGAGCCAGGGCCCCCATCTGTTCAGACTTTTAAAAAACAATTTTTTAAAGCAGCAGAATTGTTTTTTAAATGGAACCTTCCAGCTCTATCACCGTTTATTAAACAGCGGAACAGGGCACTCTGGTTGTGTCCAGACCTCTGCTTTCCCTGCCGTGGGGAACCCAGACAGCGGGGTTTCTAAAGACCTGGCCGGCTCCCAGGGCACAGCTGGAGCACCGCTCTCCTGACTCACACCCACGGGGCTCACACTTCAGCAAACATCAGAATAACCTGGTTACAGCTCAGATTGCTGCCTCACCCCAGTTTCTGCTTCAGGGGGTCCTGGGGACAGGCCTGAGACTTTGGGGTCTCCACCAAGGTGCCAGGTGAGGCTGCTGCTGCTGCTGCTGCTGGTCTGGGGTCTGTCTGCGGGAATTACGGTCTCATCTGCACCTGCCTGGCTGGTCACAGCTCCCCAGGATCGGGGACACCTGTCCCAGCCGCTGGTGGCTGAGCGTCTGATCTCTGCCTTCTGCTCAGAGAGCCAGGAGCATGGGCAGCTTCTGCTTAGTGTCAGAGCCGGAGGGTGTACAGACTTTCAGAACTTCTCGCAGTTGACAGTACAAGGAATTCATACTGACTTACAGCTTCTGTTTTTTCTCTTGGTCCGAAGCCTGTGGTTTACTCTGGTTTCATCTGTTGGCCCAGCAGATGTTTCTGTCCGTCAGCTATGGGGGGGGTGCACGGGTGGGTTCAACTACCTCACAGAGGTGAGCCGAGCCTTTGTTCGAGCAAACACCTATCAAAAACTGCGTAAAATGGAGGCATTATTTTTCTTAATTTAGAAAAATGATCAACTAAAGGTCTTCTCCGAATAGCAGAATTCCTTTGTTCCATCTAAAAGAAGTTGAGGAAACAAGTTTATGTAACCAGCACCCAGAGCACTGAGCAAATTGGGGTACGCCCGCATATTTGTTCAGAGCTCTGGCTTCCCAAGGTCCAGCTGGCTGTGTTGTTGAAGAACACGAATCACCGTTTGGGCAGTTGTCAAATATTGACAGTTTCGCATGGTTCACACTAACACAGGGTTTTGTTGTTTGCTTTCGTGACTGCTTTATCCGTGTAGGTAGGTTGTGACTCTCTGAACAGTTCAATCTGGTCTGTCCGAGGTCGGTTTCCTTGGTCATCTGTCTCCCCATCTATGGTTCCCTGGAACCAGAGCCCATCAGGGCACATCCTGTACCTGGAAAGGATGCTGCAGGTCAGGGGGTGGGAATGAATGACCTGGACCGTCCAACCCAGATGGAAGCCTTTCGTATAATTTGGGAGGCTGCTTATGACTTTTCCTTAGTTAATATTTCCTTCCTAATTCAGTTCCCCTTGAGCCGAGCTCTACAGTAATTTCTGGCGCCTGAGCACAGACTCACCGTGCGAGGGGAAGGGGGAAGGACATGCTGGGAAGGAACCGCCACTCCAGTTCAGGGTTAACTGTGCACAGCCGCCCACGGCTGGCCATCAGTGGGGTCAAGGGCTGTTCTTGTTCTCACGTGGGCTGGGCTTCACATGCTGGTTTATCTCTCCGGCCACTCGAAATAGCTCACTGGGTCTGCCTTGGAGTTTCCAGCCAATTCGCAAGCCTCTCTGGGCGCCTTCTGATTTTGCCCCTGTTGCTGTTCAGTGGCTGCGTCTCTATGGCGTCTCTAGAGGTCTGAGCTCTATCTGCCGTTGCTAGACTTGTGTTATCAAGTCCCAGGCTCTGCTGGACTGCCTTTCCAGTGCTCTGACCTGCCAAGCTCAGCTCCCCAAACCAACAATTTCGGATCACTTTCCTTTCTGTAGCCTGCATCTCACTTTCCATCTGAGCTGTCTCTGGCCTGGGCTCTCGCCCTATTACGTGATCCTGTGCACTTGGGGATTTTAAGAAGAAAAAAACCCAAGAGGCCTGTGAGGCAGGCCATTGTGCTAATACCTTCCAGATGGTGGATGCGAAATGGGAGATAAGACTCTGTCCCCCCATCTGGCCTGACAGGACCTGATATGTTCAGCCTGTATCTTGGGGGCCGTTATCACCCTTCCGTGACAGACAGGGTCACTTTGGTGTTTGTCCCTGGAAAAGGGCTTAATTTGGCAACTCTCGCTGATCTCCGAAATGAAATTTGCTGTCAGCTCAGTGAGGGATCTGCCAAGAAGGACTCAAAAGCTCTGAACGGAGAATTAAAATTGCTAATAGCAACTCACTGCGGCTGGACTTGTCCGGCGGTCAGGCCGAATGCAGGCCCTGAGCGGACGTTCCTGCGTTTCTCCGGCCCCGTGTGGGTGGACGCTGCTCCCAGACCTTGGAGAGGCACGGAATTGGGGAGGGCCCTCTCCATCCCATTAGTAGCGGTCCCCTAGAGATCTGGGTTGGGAAGACCCTTGGGGTCTTCTTGTCCAGCTGGGCCCACGCAGAGAGAATGCTTTGATCAATAAGTCATGTCTGTCTGGGAAAAGTATAGTGGTTTGTGTGCCTTCTTTGTCAACTCTTCTCTTAAAGGAAAGTAACACACACAAATGAAATCATTCCCTCCAGCTTCCAAAAATACAGACACTCTATGTGAATTTGGATTCAACTTTCTGTTATTCCAATAAGGTGTAGGAAAAAAATTGACCAACTCCTTAAGTGGGAAAAGGGACCTGGACTTTTACAATGAGAAAGTCACCCTGCCCTGCCCCCGGCCCACTCTCCCAGGAGAGTGGAGGAGACCCAGGGAAAGGATGTAAGTGCCCCGCAGAGGTCAAAGGCGAACGGATGTGCAGACCCCCACCTCCGAGCTGTTCGCGTCCCTGGTGGGGAGGGGTGGCAGCTGTCAGGAGCTCCCTGAGGGCTGGAGTGGCACTGGGTATTGGGAAGGTCCCAACTCCCTTCCAGGGAAGAATATCCTTACAAGACTTGGGTGGAGACAGGAACTGTCCTTCCTGCTTCTCGTCCCTGCTGTGGCCACGTGACATTCCAGCAGCTCAGGGGGCTGAGAGGGAACCTGTGGAAGCTCCTGGTCGGGGTCTGGAACCAGGGCTGCCGGGGTGGGCGGGCCACCTGGGCTCGGTTCAGTGCTCTGATGTCACCGCCTTTGAAATTCTAATACTTTCAAAATGGGGGGGGGGGCACACACACACACACACACACACACACACACACACTCCCTCACGTTTTCACTTGCATTCACATTCCATTTGGCCTCCAGATTATATTGCTGGTCCTGCCTCAGAAGGTTGGGATTCCAGAAAGATAGGACAGTTGTCCCACTGTCGGTGGCCCCTTGGTGGCATGTTTGAGAACCTAGGGGCAGGAGGGAAGGGGCAGGAGGGAAGGGGCTGCGCTGTGCTGAGCGATTTAGACCAGGATGGTGGAGACTCCAGTAGGAGAAAAGGACATGTTAGCAGAAAACATGCTCAGAGGTCGGGCCCAGCTCAGCGTGGCAGGGCAGGGTGGGCAAGGCTTGCACCTCAGGGTGACTGTGGGGTGGGCTAGGAGTGGGTCTGAGAGAGGCAGGTGGGCATTCAGGGCAAGGTCTGCTTGGGCAAAGACACAGAGGCAAGAAATGGCCCGGTGGGTTAGAGGAGGGGACAGAGATAGAATGTGGGAGCTGGAGCCTGGGGAGTCGCAACAGCCTTGGGAGGCAGGAGGGGAGTGTTGGGGGAGGGGTGTTGGACAAGGAAAGGACCTGGGTGTGCAGGGACCAATGGGGAGGTGGGGTGTGCAGGAGCCCTGCTCTGAGAGGCTCAGGCCGGGACCCGCAGAGGTGGCCAGGACAGAGAGGCTTCCGGAAGGAGAAGGGAGATGACTCAGCGGGAAGAGGAGGTGATGACGAGGGACGAGGGTAAGAGAACCGGAAGGGTCGAGGACCATCCAGGCTTCTGGTGCCAGGCCCTGGCTGGCTGGGGGTGCCGCTCACCAAGCTGGGGAAATTCAGGGGAGTTAGGAGGGAAGAGAAGGAGTCCCACTGGGGTCAGGAGGGGTCTGTGGGGATCCATGTGTCAGAGCTTCGGTTATGAGTCACTGAGCATTTTGCCGTTGGAGGCTGACCTCCCCGAACCAACAGCAGGCTAGAGTCCTGCAGGCAGGGAAGGCGACATTCCTGAAAGAGCTGTTGAGTCATTTGTTTGGTGCCTTTGGCTGATGGGAGCAGGCCCAGGCAGGAAGGGTGGGGCCCTGGTGGTTGGGGCCAGGAGCGGGAAGGTGCCCGGGCTGTAGGCTGGAAGGGGCCGCAGAGCCCTGCAGAGCCCAGCGGAGCCCAGCAGAGCCCAGGGCGTTTGCAGGGGTGGGGGCCACATGCAGCGTGTGGCATCCTCAGCAGAGCAGCGTGATTGTCACAGTGTGTCACCCGACAGAGTGGGCCGAGTTCTGAGGGCACAGGTCCAAGGCAGTCTCCCCGCCCCTCTGTCGGGGTTTTCAGGGACAGAAATCTTTCCCTGCCCATCGATAGAACACCTTTAATGGAACAGAACCTCAAACCAGACGCCTTTCCTCAGTTTGGGTTCAGTGAATTAAAACCACCGCGGGGTGTGCAGTGCACAGAGCTTGGCCTGTGCGATTTCTTTAGGAAGCTAAATTTGGGTAGTTTGGGTTCATAAGTAGCCTATTTACTGTTTATGAATATGAAAAAATACAGGCTTCCAAGTTATGAAAAATGGCTCTTAAAGAGCCTAAAAGCCCCAGTAGTTTGTATTATTTGAGCCATTCCTTTACAACATGCGTTACTTTAGCTACCGTCCAAGTAGTTACAGTGGGCAGTTGGAACAAGCGTGGCGCCACTCCAGCTGTGAGCCCACGCTGCACTTCTGCTGGGCCCTCCGTCCAGGTACTCCTTCCTCACTCGGGGTCACCGCCCTCGGCTTTTCTTCTCAAAGGTTCCAGCCCTGTGTCTGCTCCCAATACCCCACTTGGTCATAGCCCCTTGGGACACCCCAGCTCACCCTCTGTGGCCTGGCAAGATGTGGGGACACTGGGGTGACTATGACAGATGCAACCCTGTCCTCAGGGAGCTCACAATCCAGTCTCCCTAGGAGCCTTCAAGTCCTCAGTGATCTGTCACCAAGAAGGACTGTGGGGACTCCCAGGTACATATCAAGGGACTCTCTTAGAAAGTGAACATGAAAAAGTGGGGACAACTATAATAGCATAAACAATAAAATGCAATAAACAAACAAAAAATGAAAGTGGCCATGGAGGTGGGTAAGCATTTGCTGCCTGGCTTCATGTCCTGGCTCCGAGGTCACTAGCTATGTGACCTTGGCTGAGTGACCTCACCTCTCAGAGCCTCAGGTCCCTTCTCTGTTAAGTGAGCATGATGACATCCCCATCAAAGCATTGTCGGGAGGTCACTATGTGAAGCACTTAGCACAGGACCAGGCATTCCACGCTGGGCATGCAGGACGGGGCGCCCAGCACCCAGGCAGGCCACCCGGTGAGGATGAGCTGCCGCTGTTTCCGTAGCTGTTGACTATTGGTGCCCAGGCGGAGGCATGAAAGCTGAGGGCTTGCTGGCCTGGCGCGGGGAGAGGGTCATAAGCCCGGGAGGCGGTGCTGTGGGTGTGGAGGGGACCCGGCCCGTTGAAACAGAACCGACTGGGGCAGGGCATGGGCAGGGGATGTGGGGTCGAGGCAGAGGCCTGGCTGGAAGACCTGCTGATCTGTGTCGGGGATTTGGGGCAAGACTGAGGATTGTTTTAGTGGGTTGCTGTGGGCCACCCTTGGCAGCTGGCCTCCAGGCCGGGAGCCAGCCTTGCAGGTGGGGTTGGAGGAGATGGAAGTGAGCAAGGCATTGTCCACCCAGAAACCCCAGCGTCTGGCAGGTCTGTGGTCTGGGGCTTCCTGCAGGTGTTCACGCCCGGAGGGAAGAAGGAGCCGCCACCCCCGGGGCTGGGAGGCCTCCAGGCCCGGCTGGATGTCAGGCCTGGTGTCAGGCTCTTGGTGCTGAGTCCTGTAACTATGGCTCGGCCACTTTACCCTGCCACCTCCCCTGTGGGCACCTGGAGAGCCAACCCCCCACCCTGGAAACTGCTCCAGGCTTTAGTCTGCGGCGGGTATTTCGTGCCTTGCTTTTTGCCAAAGGGGAAAAATCAACCTATTATGAGCTCCAAACACGGTGACTTTTGTCCTCTGAGGGGGTGTGTGAGGGTGGCTTTCCTTATGCCCCCAGAGTGTCTCCCTGCACTCCAAGTGTTTCCCTGGCTGTCCAGCAGGGGGCACTCACTCACTGAACGAGGGGCATTGCTCTGCTGAGGAAACCCATCAGGGACAAGGTTTCTTGATTATCCATCAGCCTTTTTGCCTTGACATTTCTTACCCTTGGATTTTGGGGGCAAATCTCAGGGTGTTTACAAAGTTGCATTTTGGTTCCCAACTCAAGTGGAGTATAAAAGAACTATTAGAAATGGTCATACAAAAGCCTTCTCCCCCAAACAAAAATCAAACAAGACCACTCACCCAGTGTCCTGAACAGCCAAGTGGCCTCCGTCACACACACCTCAGGTTCTGCCAGAGCCCAGGAGGGAGGGACCCTTGGCCCGGCCTGGGGGCCGCTGCAAGGGAGGGTGCACCTCCAGGAAGTCTCAGCCAGCCCCGGAACAGGGCGGGGAGCCCCAGGGAGCAGTGTGCTGGGTCTTTAAAGAGCCCGTCCCGTGTGGGTGGGTGGGGTGGGCAGGCCCGATGAATGTGCCATTGAGGAGCCGAGTTCCACTGGGAATAATTCTCCCTTTGTGTCCCAGCACCTCCCCAGCTGCTGCCCGCGTGGATCCCTGTCCCCCGGCCTCAGAGCACGCATCTGTGCCTTCCGCCTCGGCGAGTGATGGAGTAGAAGCCCCCACTGCCTCCTGCCAGGGTCTGGCCAAGGACTTGACCAGGTAGGATACAGAGCTCTCTCCCTTCGCAGCCCCTGGCCCGGGCGGTCTCCACCCCTAGGCCTCGGGGGCCGGCTGAATTTGGCATGGTGCCAACAAGGCATCGACTGTTTGGACCTGTGATGCCACATTGTGATCATTTGGGCTGTAGCTGATCTGACGTTTTCCTTTGTTAGCAAGTTCTCCATGTAACCGAGCCCTGTGGTCTGGCTTGGTGGCACGGGACAGAACAGGGACCAGAATGGCTGTGTTTCCATTGCCTTGAGTACACCCTCCACTGCACCTTCTCAGTGTCACCAACTCTGCCCTCTCCGTGGCCTGGATCCAGGGATCTCGGTAAATCTGGTCTTTTCCCCTCTGGCGGTTCCCTGGAGATTTTCAAAGCTAGTTTCGAAAATGCATGGACAACAGAGTCGTTTGGCTGAACTGGCAGCCGCTGTCACCAAACCTGGGTCGCGTCCGAGCTGTCTGTTTCTCTCAGGATTTGGAGATGCGTCCTCCCCCCGTTCCCATTTCCAGCCATGGTGCCGGTACACCTCCTGCGTGTTTCCACTGTGTGCACGTGACTGTGGTCCCTGTCACATCTGGGCCTTGGAGGGGAACAGCAGGGCAGCGAGACCTGGTGTCTCATCAAAGAAAGCCGGAGGCAACGTCTCGTTGCCAATTGACAGATGTTCTGTTCTTGCGAATGTGCTGGCCGACTTCCTGCTGCCTCCTCCTGCACTAACGCTGCTGTGGAAGTGACACAATCCCAGGACAAATGGCTTTTCTCCTGGAGTTTCCCTGCCCCATCCCCTCCCCCATGTCCATTGGTAACCATTAGCCTTGGGGAGAACAGATGTGACCGAGAGAGGCCATGGGAGCAGAGCGAGCTTCCTTTCTCTGCTTGCCAACCCTGCCCAAAGGAAAGCGCTTCTCCTGGGAGGGACGCTGCCCACCGCAGTGGCCAAGCTTCCCACAGGCCCTCCCTTCCTGCGCCTCCCCACCCCTCCCTGGCCTACCCGAACTTTGGGGAGAGCATCACGCAGGGATTAAATGAGCTCCAAGAGGCCGAAGCCAGGCTGGGAATCTGATGATAAAGAATTTCCAGGAATGCAGGCCGACAGCCTGACGCAGGCCAAGGCAGCCACGGGGTTTGGGGTTCTGGGAGAAGGATGGGGTGTGTTGCAAAGAGGCTGGTGCTGGGCAGGGTGTGAACCTGAACAAACATCATCCCTGTTCAGAGCCAACCTCCCACTCTGCCTGCTGGGGACAGCGGCCCTTTAGGGATCAGTAACTTGGAAACCTGGCTAAGGGCTGCCTGGACAGACCATGGAAAAATGAGACAGGAAAGGTGGCCAAGTGTCTGCTGGGAGGAAGCTGGTTCCGTGGTGCTGGAGCTGGAGGCCAGGGGACACAGCCCTAAAAAAGGTGTCCTGAACTGCATCGTGGGGGAAGGGTGGAGGCAGGTGGCTTCAGCTCACCAGGGGCTCTGGTGCGTGTCCCCAGGCCCTGCCTGCTGTGGGCAGCCCTGAACTGCTCCCATCTCTTTACCAACACTTCTCCCAGACTCGGGAGCCTTTCCTGGGCAGGAGAAGGAGCACAGGGCCCTTCTCTCTGCCCCCTCCGAGGGTGTTACCCTTTCTCCCAACCCTTGAAAAACACTGCACAACCTCGCCCTTCAAGCCAGCTCCTGGGCTGCTCACAGCTCAGCAGCTAAGGCTGTAGGTGGGGTGGGGACCGTCCTTTCTGTTTTCATGAGGTTGTAGATGCTGACACTGCCTGGTGACAAGATGCTGCCCTGAGCAGACAGGTCCCATCCGGCCTTGTTCCTCGTTTATTTAAATCACGTTTCACTTTGGACTTTCTCCTGCCTGTAACACCCACTTCCCACGAGGCTGCCCAGGCCAGGATATGGTGTCAGCATCCTGGCCGGACCAGCAGAGACCACTGACCTGGGTCGTGGTCTATAAATGGGAACCAGCTGCCCAGCATCCCAGTGTTGGCTGGCTGGGCATGCCCAGAAGCTCCGTCTTGCTGGCTTCAGTGGGAGCAGGGAGGCTGGGGAGAGGGAGAGGGAGGCTGTTACTTCACTCTCCAAAGCAGTCTGACAGAAGGCAGCCTCCTAGGTCTAGGAGGAGCAGGTGTGGACAGGCGGGACCCCTGATGACCTGAGCCCTGCAGCGGAGGAGAGGGGCTGCCAGTGGGGCTGTTCTAGCCCTGCTCACTGAGACACGGCTGGGTGGAGCACCAGGGCTTCAGTTTGGGACCCCATCTGGGCCGGAGTCCCGGGCCCCTAGGGCAGCCGGGAAGGGACTTTGACCTGCAGTGGTGTTCGGAGAGGAGTTGACAGAGCAATGGAGCTTTGAGGAGCCAGCGAAGGCATGGCTGGAAGTGCCCAGCGCAGCTCTGAGTGGGTGGGAGGTTCCTGGACTGCCGAGGCCCAGGAGCCGGCCCTCCATTCCCAGCCGCCACTCCATGACTCCAGCTTCGTACTGCGGGGGACACTCTTCTTCCAAACCAAGGGTTTGCCTTTCAGCCCTTGGACCCCGTTGGAGGTGTGGAAGCAGAGGTGCCAAGATCAGGTGGAGAAATGGACCGTCAAACCTAGGGACGAGTAGGGACAGAGACAGGGCCCAAGGACACAGGGTGGGAGAGGGGCCTCTGGTCAAAACATACCCGGTTCAGGGCCCCTCCCTGCCCAGGGTTGCTCTCCTCTGTCGTGAGTCGGAGCAGCCAGGCCGCAAGGCTGGCGCTGTCGGCAGCAGGAAGTGCTGAGTGCTCGGAGTGGATCGTGTAGTGCGCTCTCCGCTTTGAGTTCACCAGTCCGTCCGTTCGTGCAGCCATCCACCTGTCTGCTCCTCTGCTCGGGCCGACCTGGCCTGGGTTGATTCTGAGCCACGCCCCACGTGTGATGTGGTGCAGGGGGAGGAACGTCAAGTTGGAGAGACATGGCCCTGGGTCATTAATGAGCTGTGTGACTTTGGGCAGGTTACTCGACCACTCTGGGCCTTCATTCACCCATCTTTAAAATGAGGCTGGTAGGTAATTGGAGGAAACTGGAAGAAAGTAGCTCGGTGCTTGATCAGTGGGAGGCATTTAGTCGACGCTGGCTCCCCCTGATGGCCAGCAGTGCCAGGGGTGCTGGGGTCAGGAAAGAGAGGGATGGCTGCCCTGGAAGTGGACACAGCGCACCGCGACACGAGAGACTTTCCAGCAGAGCTGGGAGCACGAGGCCCAGGAGGAGCGAGCGCCTACCTCTGCCTCGACAGGCTGGGGGCTTCCTGGGGAGGCAGCGTTTCCACTGGGCCCCTGCACGGGCAGGTGTTTGCTGAGGGCGAAGAGGGCAGAGGCGCTTCCGGGAGGGGCTGAGGGGGGGCCCCGCAGATTCAGACAGCAGGTGGGGAGAGGCCTGGAGGGGCTGGAAAGAGGACCCTGGTGGTCTCGGGCACAACAGTGGGGTTGGCGGCCACTGTAGCAGGTGGTTGTCAGGTCTGGAGGGGCCTGGAGCCACACTGACTGAAGGCTCTCTCCTCCTTTTCAGCACGGGGGAGTCAGGACCGAGCTAAGTTTTGGGGACTCTCTCTGGTGGCCAAGGGCAGCATAGACGGAGAGGGAGGCCAAGGGTCAAGGCCACTGGAGGTCGTCACCATGGTCCAGAGGGGAGGCAATGGTGGCCTGAGCCAGGGCCGTGGCTGTGTGGGCAAGGAGGGTCTGAGTCTGTCTCTGTGTCTTGGGCTCACTCACTCGTGGGCGTGTGTTGAGCTTTGGCCCTGGCAGTCTTGAAGCTGCTGCTGGGGGTACAGTGGTGACCCCCACGGACGTGGCCATGCTCTCCTGAGGGGACTCTGCGGGAATGGTTGTTCCCAGTCTGGGCTGTGATCCTGGGCAGAGGGGTCCCAGGACCAGTCACTGCGGACATCGGGCTCAGGGTAAAAGCAGTTCGGGCCCCATGTGGTCCTACCAGCTCGGAGCCCCTGGTGTTTTCTCCTGGCTTGTAGGCTAAGGACCGCCACCTCTGTTGGGTAACTTGCCCACCCTGTGCCCGCGCTCAGTGCCCCGCTCCTGGCTTTGTTTGCAGACCCTTCTTATTGAGCACGATCACCTGGCAGCTTTGCAGAGCCCCAGGGCCCTTGGCCTTTCTCAGGTTTCGGTAACAGGGCTCCTATCCCGTCCCATCCCTCCCCAGGTTAGGAAAACTGAGGCCCAGCGAGGTCAAGGTCCCAAGCTTCTAGAGCAGAGTGGTGGTGGGAGCCACCTGGGGAGGGTTGTCTCCAGAGCTCGCCAGCTTCAGCTCCTCCTCAAGAATTGGGCGCTCAGGTCTGGTACCCACAGTTGCTGTGAACCCAGTGAAGCAGGGACCCTGAGTCCTCCCAGGGACAAAGCAATCTCTTCCTTTTTCACAAAGCAGCCACGCATCACCTGCAGCCAGTGTGTATTAGGCACCTGCCGTATGCCTGGTGCTGCTGCACTAAGAACTGTTCATTGATCTTGTTTAAACCTTGCACTCTGCACGTTGTCAGCAGGGGAGGGGGCTCCTACTCTGATTCCATTGCAAAGATGAGAGAACAGAAGAACAGAGGGGTCAGGTAACTTCCCAGGGTCGGTTATAAACGATCTGGGTAAGGGGAAAATGTGCCCTATTATCATTGATCCTTTTGACTTAGTTGTCTGAGGACGAGAGTTTACTTCAAACCTCATTCCTGGGCAGCCAGCCTGCTCCTCTCCTCCCAAATCACACACAAGAAGACCAAGACCTGCCACTGGGGAGGGTGTGGAGGTCAGGGGGGCCTCGGATTGCGGCTCTGGGCTCTGGCCATGATGCGGCTGGGAGACCTGGGCCTCTCTCCTCTGTGTCTCTGAGCACAGGTGTGTCCACCCATCTGTCCACCTGTCTGCACACAGCTGTTGAGGACTTTCTCCGTGCCCGGCACTGGGCTAAGTATTGGGCATTCTGTGGGGCGCAGGGGAGGCGTGGCCTCTGCCCTCCGAGAGCTGTCCTGGCCCAAGCCTCTCTCTCTGGG